TCCTCCCCCTCCCCTGCGATTGCTTTGGGGCCAGGCCGCTCCCCTCCTCCCCCCCCACCGCTTCAGGCCCAGGCCTGCTTCCCTTCCCCCACCCCCACCTTCAGGTCTGACATCGTTCCTCCACTCTGGGTCCGTCCAGCACACCTGCCTCCCCTCCCCACGAATGACAGGGGAGGGAGCACACACTTACCACCCTGGACCACCACCATCTCCCGGGAGGGAGGGGGAGCTTGCCCCACTGTCCCCTCTGCCCCCTTGGCCAGCAAGCTGTGCCGTTGCTGCCTCCAGAGAGCAGGGCCCCCCACCGCCTCACTCTGTTGGCTCCATCGCTGCTGCCTCAGGCCGGGGGGGAAGGGGGCATCCTCCACTCTGTCAGCTCCATGGCTGTCATAATGGTGGTGCACTATCACCACTGCCTCCGGTCCCAAGCACTCTTGGAGCACTCTGATTCGTTGTTTCAGACAACCATTCAGAGTGCGAATAAAGCCTTACGAGCAGATACTGACAGACTAAGGCTTTTATAATATTTGAATGATTTGTATTAGTGAAGGTGTCCTCGCTAATAGAAATCTGTGTGTTTTATATTCCAGTTAAAGCTGTGTGTGTTTATATTCCATTTTTTTCTATATGGATGCTCAATACCATTCTCATATATTTAAACCACCAGTTCAGTAAATGTGTCTGCATGGACCTATACAAGTCCCACAAAGTTAATGGAGCACTGTGTGGATGTCTGCACACTTGGGACCCTATATAGATTCTGGGCATAGCCATTGAAAGTATTTTCCTGTGATCCTCTGGTGAATAATTTTGTAGCATCTTTTATATGCAGTCAAACAGTGGCTGCTTCAATAATATTCAGAAACAAGGTGGGGCACTCAAGTACTTAAATAGTGCAGTTAGGAACTACCTTGTTTGTGGGGACAAAGACAATCAGCAAAATTTGCATGATCAAAAAGTGAAGTTTGCAGCTGCTGCTTATTAGATTTGAACAATGGAATTAATGATAAAGGAAACAGTGTAGTTAAAAGTATTTGTCCTGCTTCTGATTTCATTTTGTTCTTGTAAAATTGGGATTTCAATAAACAGTTTTAGATCTGTAGAAGTAAAAGCAAATACTTATTAGTGTTCTGTGGAATTAATGTTAAAATGTTGAAAAAAGTAAAAAGTAATTAAAAAGTCAAGGTGTGTGTGGGTCTCTTCCTTTTGATCAATGTATGGGTCTTCTGCTGGTTTTGTGATATTTTTAACTTTCTTTAAAGCTAACAGCAGAATTCCTCCATTTTCAGCAAACTAGAAACTAGATATTTTTGACCAGTAATAAAAATCTTAGTACAGTAAAAGCTACGCTATCTGGCATTTTACAAGTTGGCATGCTCTACTAACTGGCATGCTGGCTTGGGTTTCTCTGAGCCCCCACAGCCAGGGTCAAAGCAGCCTGCGCTGCCAAGCTCCCATGGCCCGGGGGCATAACAGGCTGCGGGGCTGTGCGGGGCCTGCCTCCCTGTCCTGTGGGGCCCACAGGGCAGGTGGGACGGGTGGCAATGTGGTGGGAGGGACGGTGATGCCACAGGAGGGGTGGAGGGATACCCCAGACGCAGCGGGAGATGCGGTGGCCGGGGCCACTCAGTTAACCAGCATATTTTGTTATCTGGCATCCCCCATTTCTGGGGGGGGGGATTGGGGATTTCTATTTAAAACCTCTTGTCTTATCTTAATAACAGGACATATTCTGTTGCACACTGTGGTACACTTAAAAAGATCGCATAGCACCCTAAGCGCCCTTGTTGAGCATCACTGTCTTAGTTTGCTGTATCTTAACTCTTTGAGTGGACACGAGGCTTACATTTCGTCCTGAACCTGGTTGTAACTCGTGCACACACACACATCTCAAAATGAACAGTTAATGCTCAGAGTTTAGATGTTGTCAATGATAACATGGCAGAGAATAGGATTTTGAATGATTTTGTTAGATTGCGTACATTCTACACAGCCTAATGTTATAAATTTACACTTGGACCACTTCTCATGTTTTCTCTATATCGTCAGCATAACTTTGTGGTAAGATCTTTTGGGTGGATTGAAAGAGGACTAGTTCTAACTTAGCTTCAAATCATATCTTCTTTAATGGCCACCAGTTATACATCAGGAAAAGTATTCTATGAGCTAATCTTCACGAGTTTATCAAGTCCTACATGACTTTATGTGCATTTATCACTGCTACATTGCATCCAAGTCTGTGGACTGCATTTTATACTCTTTTTCATTAGCTGTCTATAAGATGGCATTTGATTTGGTCTTTAGCGTAACCTCACTGAGAGAGTCTCTGCTTTAAGAGCAAACAGTTTTATGTGTGTTAATACCAACAGTCTGTGATTTGAATGTATCAAGTTCCAAAAAATGTTCACAACATTAGATAATGACTACTGCAGTTTGGGTTGCATATTAGTTTTTTTCTCCCCTGAATGTTGTGCATGCCTGTGTATCTCTGGGGGGCCAGGGCATAGTGCAAAGTTGGTTCTTAGTGTAAACTGCTGAAGGAAGGGAATTTTAAAATTAAAGGCTAGTACTCAAGCTTTCTCCCACCTTTTATCTGAGAGTCAGATCATGTAATGCATTCAATTTCTAGAAGCACATGTATGCATCTTTAGTTGTGTGCTGCATATGTCTGTTAACAAAAGGGGCTTTTAGTGCTGGTGATGCCACAACCAGGGGATTCACTTGGCATATGCATCTTGGAGACAGTTGCTTAGTTTAAAGAACAATCAAAAAACAAAATGTATGTTATTTGGGACATAGAACTGGCCATTGAGTCTAGTCTCCTGCAATTCGCAGGTGTCATTTATCCAAAGTACTAAAAATCATCTGCCTTGGCCCCTAGTACATACTGCAGCCCCAAAGCACCTTATGTAGCTGAATTAAGATATCTTATAGGAAGTCATAGGTAAAAAATAGGGGAGACATGGTTCTGTCAGTAACCTGCCACTACAATGGCAAAAAATGATAGGCTATTCTGTAGCTAATCCCACATCTGTGGCTGTTGTGCTCTATAGAATTAATAGGAGCCAGTGAGCAAAGGAAGAACCCCAAATTGTCATCAGCTGATACCAGAGATGGTGATAGAGAGTCAGTGAAAAATTCAGAAAAATTGTCATATTCTTTGGTGGTCATCACTGTTCTTGGCTTCGATTCTTAGGAAACACTGCATAAAATTACATTTTAAAATATTTCACATTACTGTATGTGCAGTGTGGAGGTGTTATGCCATAGGCACCTCTGTCCTTCATTTAAAAACTACTTTAACCAGTGGTGTCGGGAGAGCGGGGCCTGGGAGATTGTCAAGCCAAACTAAAACTCATTGACAGTTGGAATTCATATCTTGATTTGATAAGTGGTATATTATGTTTTATACCGAAGGGGTTGTAATGGAGAAACGTTCTAAAAAGGGGGGCAGGAGAAAGGAATATTCTGCCCATTAAAATGTAGTGAAAGCCGTTGTCAATATTGCAGCATTTAGGAAAAGAAAAACAAGTATTAAAGGACATTCCCTAAACTTACATTTATTCTCAGACCTACTGCATGTATCAGAATTATATTGGCTCTGTAGGCAAATTATGTCATTGTTGGAGGAAGGGCTGCCTCTTTTCTGCTTTAGGGCTGAGAATACTATTGACATTCAGATAATAAATAACATTTATTGGCAGGCCTTGTGTAATGGAGGCTTTGCAGGGTATTGTTTTATCACAGCCCTTCCTGAAATTGATAATAAAAGATGCAAGAAATATAAAGCTGGAACAGTTTAGGGTTTTCTTTTGTTTGGTGGGGTTTTTTTTTCCTTTTTTAAAACAAGACCTGATTTTTAGGCTTTTAAAGTCAACTCAGCACTTTTGTAACATTTCTTTTTGATCATAAACACACACTGCTTGGGATGCTGCATCAAATTAGACGTCATATAAATAATGTTAAACCTCATCAGACCTACTTGACAGAGGAAAAGATTTTTGTGGTTGTTGCCTTTTATTGAACCAGCTGCATGGTTGGTATACACTTAGACTTAGAAAGTTTTCAAATGCATTTCTTACATAATATCTTTCCCTTCCCTTTCAGATTAATACTCAGAATTTTTTTGAAATAACATCATGCATGTGCTTTTTAATTTTGTGATTTTTTTTTTATTTTTTAAGCTAGAAATTTTTAGTAATTAAATTTAAACCTAGTGTTTTTATATTTGTTTTGTGTTTTAGGATGACTACCATAGAGTAGTTAACATTGTACCCAAGAAACCACCACTACTAGATAGACCTGGGGAGGGAAGTTACAGTAGATATGACGACTACGGTCATGTTGACTACAGAGACTATGATGAGGGTCGCAGTTTTGCCCATGAACGAAGAAGTGGCCCACCACATAGAGGTGTACGTAACTTGATATTTCTTTCACAAATATGTTGCTTGTCTTTTTGTTCATTCTTGAATCTGTGCATATGACTCCTAATCGCTTCACTCTGAGCATTTTCATTATAGAGCTAAGCCTATTCTCTCCCAAGTTCTCTCTCAAATTTTAAGTTTGACATTTGCTTCTGAGCAGTCATTCCCAGTTCTAGGTCTGTGATGTTCCCATGATGATGACATTGTTCTTTTTTACTGCTGTGGGCATACATGTTATCATCTACCTCATGAGTGCAAAGGAGGGCTGTATTCTTACTCTCAAACTCTATACAGTGGCTGAGTGGGAGAAATGATCAGGTGCCTTTCCTTTTCCTTGCCCATAATCTAGTGTGGAATCAAATTAGAAAGCAAGATAAGGGATTTTGAGAGTTTTTCTGTGTGTCCCAAATGAACGAATATACAAATTATTGGACTCGAACACACTTCAAATATATTTTGAGGCCAATAACACATAAGCACGTACCATGACAGAGGTTACACTTCTCTTTTTTGGTTTTTTGTTTTTTCCTTTTTGGTTGGCAGTTACTTGTAGGTAAAAATCAATGTTCACATCTGAAGTTCAAATCTCTCCAGTCTTTGAGCCGTTACAAAAAATTACACATCATTTACAACACTTCAAACTGGTTGCCTTCCTTGTACTTCAAGTAGTGTTATGGCTCAATAAAAATTACAGTTGACACTCAAAATCCTGATTGGGTTTAGTCAGTAATGTCTGATACTCTATAAAGCATTGCAATGTAGGTTTTTGGGAGGAGCACAGGAAGAGAATGAATGAGTGGATGTTCTCAGAAGTTGGTTGGGATGCACTAAAAGTGGAAGAAAAACATCTGAAAAACTAGGAAATTGGTTTTTTTTCTAAAACCCTCAAATGCTTTTATGGTGTGTTTCCAAATTCTGTTTAAAGCAAATTGTGATTGAAATCTGTTTTGTTCAGACGACTTTTACTTAACCACCCCTCTTCCTTTTTGTAGGAAGATTCAGGATATAGATGGCCAAGGGAAGACCACCCCGCAAGTCGACAACCTGAATACAGGTATTAATATAACTTTATTAATGTAGATCAATGCAGCTGAACCTTCTAGAGTAGTGGGCTAGGTGTTTGCAAACTGGCTGCACTGCAGGCTATGAGTCCCCTCTGGTAGGGGAGGGAGAGGACGAAGAAAGGGCACGAGGAGGTGGCTGCCAGTTTTAGAGGAAGGGGATGGAAAGGTGGTGGGCAGGGGAAGAGGCTTAACTGCCAGAGGGGAGGGAGAGAACTTACATCTGGGTAAGCAGTCTCTCCTGTAGGGGATAAGAGAAAATGAGAGTAGGGAGGGCTGCAGAGGATATCTGTTGCATGGCACAGGGCTGGGAAAGGGACACATTGGGCTGAGCTGCTTGCCACTGATTTCTGCGCCCCCAAAATCCGGCTATGGTTTGGATCCAGATCCAACCTGTGAGTTGTAGGTTGAACAGTACAGATTTGAACCATTTTACAGCTAGCACTCAATGCCACCTGTTTTAAAAGTATATATTCAGTTGTGTTTCAGTGAATTGGGACATCTCCTAGGAAACTGCTGGGAAACTTTAGTCTAAAGATAGTTAAAGGTGATGACTGCTTGTTAATTGGGGCAGAATTAAATTCTCCTTCATGAAACTGCCTCAACAGATCCTCAATTTACAAGCTGCTTATTGCTTGTTCCACCAGTCTACATCAAGGAATAAACCAGTGGTCACCAACCAGTGGATCTCGATTCACTGGTAGATCTTAGAGCCTGTTGCGGTAAATCTTGGAGCCTCTTGGAGTTGATCCGAGGCTCGGGTTGGGGGCTGAGTGCCTGCGTGCATGCACGCGCATGCCCCAGCCCAGCAGGTCAGTCCGTGGGGGACGGAAGGGGCAGAGGCTAGATCGAGGACCCCGTAGTGAGGGACAGTGCTGCAGAGGCAGGAGTAAATTGAGTGGGGTCTCACCCAGGTGGGACTGACTTACTGGGGAGGTGCGCCCTCAAATAATTTTTTCTCTCTCTGCCTTGATCTGCCCCCTTCCCCTTCCCTCCCCACAGACTTACCTGCTTTTGGGGGTGGGGAGGGGTGGAATGTTGTTGGAATGTTAAATCAGTGGCAATTCTTAAGGATTCTGCCTTAGGCTAGGGACAGAAGCTATACATAAATCAGGATAAGTGATCAGTAGCCAGTTCAGATCTGTAACACAACAGAAGTGCAGTGCACATAAACCACTTTCAAAATGGCTGAAGCTGGTTTAAGATAAACGTGGATGGAAATATCAGACTTAACTGATTTAGGTTAAATTGGTTTATTGAACTTCTGTTCCAGATTCCCTCCAGATTCAAGTCAACTCATAGTCCCCTAGTATCCCAGGATACTTTGCACCTCCCCAGTTAACACCCTCTACCCCCTGGCAAGGAAGGTGAGCTAGCCTTGGCCCAAGCTGTTTGCCCCAGTTGAGCAGGGAGGTGTGCTGGAGCACCCCCAGGCCTGTGGCCTGGACCACTGTAGGCATGTAGCAGCATTTCCAGAATCAACAGTGAATGTTTGTTTACTTGCTTATCAGTTCAATCTATGCAGTTTACACTAACCTGCCAAGATTGAATTGATTCAGCCTCATGCTTTTTTGACTGTCTGTACTTAGCCTTAATGTTTAAATTCTCCATATTTCTTAGAGAACTTAAACATTTGCAAAAGCAGTTTTCGAACAAGCTTACCCTCTTTGTTGTTCCTTCCTTACTCTTAGTTTTATAATGAATTTTTAAAAGTAATTATTGTAATTGTCTGTGGGGTGCCTATGTTTTTATTATGACTGTGTCTAAATGCCATAACAACCTGTGGGAGGGGAAAGGAATTGAGCATTATTGTACAGTTAGGATTTTATTTCAGATTTCTTTGGAGCATCCTTTTATGCCTCTCAAAAAAAACTTGTTCCTAGTTATGTACCGTCTGCTTTGCCTCCCATTTCTTTTGAACCTAGAAGATTTATGTATGTTTACATTTGAGTCCAGAGCATAAGAATATACAAGTTTTTTATTGTACAAACACCCCAGTCTCATATAATTGATTTCTTTGTTTTAATATTGTCTTCAAAAGGAATATTAATGTTTAGTCACGTCAAATCATTTTTGGTCTATTACTTTGTAGCAATAAGACAGATACTGACTTCTAGCATTGGAAATGTGTACATATGCCATGTGTTGCTATCAACTTTATTCATGTGAGTACAGTAAACTGACCAGTGGTGCTCAACGTTTTTTGTACCATGGACCAGATGAGTGGCGTAGGGCTGGTCTGCTGGCTGGATTGAACCCTGTGTTGCCTTCATGTGCCAGAATCAGGCCCCATGCTGCCCCTTCTCAATCCCACATGCAGGTATCAGACCCTGGGGCCCCATGATACCTCTGCTTGACAAGATTGGGGGAACAGGGCCCCATGCCACCCCTGCATGCTGGGATTGGGGGATGGAGGCTCTGTGCTGCCACTGCATGCTGGTATCAGGCCCTGTCCACTGGGATTGGGGCTCTGCCACCCTTCTGTGCCGGGATTGGGCCCTGTGCTGCCTTCACGTACCAGGATCAGGTTCCATGGGTTAGGATTAGGGCCCTGCATGCATGGCCACTATTTTCAACCCTCAGGGCTCCCCATGGGTCCCTCACTGCCAAATTTTCAGACCCGTGGGGACCCCCATGGCCTGAATGACATAACGCTGGGGTCTGAATCTGGGAGTTAAGCACCTCAAAGTAGATAATGTGGGCAGAGGAACCATGCTATCAGACTGTATATAGAAGGTAACAGTCGCTGGTAGAAATGCTCGCTAGTTACACTGGAAGAAATAACACAAATGTTAAGTTTCTAGACTGTCAGTTTTGTTTAATCCTTTGAATGCACATTTTGATAATAGTAGGAGGAAGGATAGTGCAGGAGTTAGGGCCCTAGCCTAAGGTTCAGTGGTGATCAAGGATTTAATTCCATATCCTGTCACAGACCTAGCTGTGACCATGGATAAGTTATTAAGGGTGTGTGTGGCATCTACTTCTGTGACATTATTTTACTGTAGGGAGCTCAGTCTGGACCAATTTACTGAGCTATGCATTGCCATGGCTGGACTGTTATAGGTACCTAAGGTAGATTAACAGCATAGTCAAACCTCACGTCTTTGTACTTCAGCTCCCCATTTGTAAAATGGAGGTAATAGTACTCTACATTTGCAGTTAAGATAACTGTGAGCTAAAATCTGTCTGACTATTGCAAAGTGGCAACCAGCACCTGGGTCTTGTTTGGAATACATCAGTGATGCACCATCCTCCATTTGGAGTTAAGCTCTCAGCCTTTTAGTGGTGACGTGATACAGTTTGTGGCTTGCATGATTTAACATCATTCTAGATGTGCAGAAATTTACGGTAATATTTTTCACTGACCTGAATGTCACCGGCTGCTTTCTCTGCACGTGCTTTGGAGAACGAAGTAAAGAAAAACAGGTTCAAAGACACAACTTTATTTCACTCCATCAGAGAAGGGGGAAGGCTCAGAGAGATCAGTGCCATTCCTTACCCTACCATACATTCCTTTATGAAGATTTTGCAGAACAATGAGAAAAGCACCATTGGCTGAATCTATTGACCCCATCAGAGATTTTCTTGATATCAGTGAAAGCCTTATAGAGAACGTGGTTCTGTTTACATTTTACTTGAATCTGGTTTGCAACAAAAATAATGTCTCTTATCCCCTGACTTGGTTTAAATTGCACTGAGACCCTAGGAATTTGTCATCTAAGTGCAAGAGCAATCAATTAAAACAGATGAGTTGCTGGAATCACGGTGCTTGCTCAGGGCTGGATCTGGGCATGATAATGGGGTGAGCAGCAGTGGCGGGGGTTAATGCAGCTGTGCCCCCTGCTGCCAACAGCTGTCCCTAGCAGGGCTCCATACTGTGGGCTTTGGCAGGAGGCTGCACCCTGAATTTCTCATTCCTCTGGAATAGGCTTGTCCCCTGATACCACGATGATATGGTCATCATTTTCCAGAATGGGCTGGAGGTCATTAATGATGTGTCCAAGGTGTTCAAGCTGGGGGCTGTAGATGACAACCACAGAGATTCTGTTTTTCTTGTCATGAGGTTAGTATTGTAGAAGGTCATGGTAGTCTTGCGGGATAAGCTGTTTTACATGGAGCTTTCCAGCCTCAAATGACATCTCTCCAGCAACAGCCTAACTCTCACCAAGTCACCATACCAGGCTGTACTCCTGAAACACATGCCAGCTGTCCCCCATCATCAACACAGACCACTTCATCACTGGACCAAGTAATACAGGTTTAAACATCTGGGGTTCATTGACTTGCTCCTCCAATAATGTTATATATGCTATCACTTGCTTACAGTTCCCCTCTGTTGTCAACATTGGACAAACGGGGTGATCCCTGCATGAAAAAATGAATGGACACTGATTTGACATAAGTTCCAGAAAGACACAAGCCTCTGGCAGAACACTTGAATCTCCCTGGACATTCCATTACTGACTTCAGAGTAGATGTTCGTAAACAACAAAATGATAAAAACAGGCTTGAATGTGAAATTGTAGAACAAAAAAGTCACCTACAGATTGGACTGTATTAAGAAAGATCTCAACAGAGATTCTGGTTTCTTATCCCATTACCTGATCCCCAAACTGTTACCTGGATTAACTTTTATTACCCTTACATCCCTCAGTGGGTTATCTGATCTGTTTATCCCTTTTAATCTGTTGACCGTAGCTTTACTTTTCTCAGCAGTGACCCCTCTCTCATCCTTTCCTCCTCCTTTCCTTATCCTTTGTATTTAAATGACTGTATTTATTTTCATTTGGTATCCCTGTTCTCTTCAAGTCCATTCATAGCATCTGATAAAGTAAACTTACATCTCTAAAAGTTTATGCCTTTTTGAACAAGTTAATCTTTAAGGTGCTTCTGTGCCCTTCCTTTCATCTGACTTCAGACTAACATGATTAACTGCCTCTTTTAGAGCAGCAGTGGCAGTATTATGCTAGTTTAGTGCTTTGGCAACAACTAT